GGGAAAGTAGCCTTGAGCAACTGTACCTTCGCACACTTTGGGAGAGAACGTGCTGAAGCCCCAGGCATGCTTGTGTGGCCCCGCTTCTTGAATGACTCTCTGTGGGGAGTTGCAGGCGGGATCTCCCTGGCATGAATAATCCTGACGCTTCACCACAGAAGCTGGAGGAAAGAGAGGAAAGCAGGGACCAGCAGCATCAACATGATTTCTGTTTCTCACCGCACGTAATGTTGTTCACCAGCTCGTTTGCGCAGGTCTCCCTCCACAGCTCTCAAGATTAACAACTCATTTTTAGGTAAGGGTAAAAGCGAATTAATTCAAACACAAGCAACAGCTGGGAAGTGGGCAAAAGTACATACACTCACATTGGAGAAAAATATAAATCTTGCTGCTATCTTTTAGCTCAGTGTTTCTTGTCTATTTTGTTTTTTTGATGCACCTCACCACAAGGTAGTTTCAATTGTTAAAATTTTTTCCTGAAAATAGAAAATGTCTCTTGGGTTCTCCCGAGAGCGGGGTGCCCAGGCACACACGCATTCTTCCCATAGCACAGCACTTTAAAATTAATAGCACATGCAGAGGAAAACTAAACCCTTTGACGTCACTCTTGAAATGAGGAAACAGAAACAGAAAAGGCTCCACTCCAGTAAGCTGCCAGAGTTGAAGCCGATTGGTCTCCGCTTTTCCTTGCCTGTGGCAACTGACAGCACCTCCCAGCCTAGCAGGCCGGCTGCCTGCTTCCCCAGCCAGTCGGTGGGTCTGGGCACTGCAGCAGGCTCAGCTCCATCCCAGCACTTGCCTGGGAGAAAGAAACGTGTTATACTCACCCAGAGAGAATCTCTTTCTACCTTCCTTCCTCCCCGATCTCTCTGTGTGCTTTTGTGTTTCTTTTTTTTTTTTTTTTTACTTAATTATATTCCTAATCCTGGATGAAGTTGCTGGATTCCGCAGCACAAGTCTTCATGAACAAGCAGCACCGCTCAGAGATTTCACGGCATTCAAAGGTCACAGAACTGCCACTATGGTTAAATGTCTTGTTTAATGGTTGAGGTAGGTACAACAGATTTCAGCGGCAACTCATTTTTCTTGAGAGAACAGAGTCACAGAGAGATGGCAGGAGTTTTATTTTAAATGAACCTGTATGTATATATTTTTTGGTCTGTGATTGTTACTACAGCAACCAGCTTTTGAATTTCCTTCCTTTTTCTAGGCGAACTGACTAAACATTATCACTTACCCTGAATTAACCGTTTCATTCCAAGCAGCCTAATGAGATACTCCGGCCTTTTCACTGCACTTTGAGCCCCTCCTGAGGAGGGTTGCTTTTTTTCCTTTGGCTTCTTTTTTAATGAATGCAATATTTCTTCTCCAATGTAAATCTTAGAGTTGAGTCAGTTTTTCTTTTTGGTGGGACAGGACAGGAAAATATTGGTAAAGAGATTAGTGAGGGTTGCAGAACAGAGAAAAAGAAAATCCTTTTTTCTCTTGAGTTTGTCATGTTGGTTGATAGAAGATGAAGAAATTAGTAGGAAGAGAGGAGGAAGCTAATAATGAGATTGAAGGTAGAAAAACCTGAAGGAGGTGTGTCAGAAAAATGAACTCTTGAGGAAAATGCACTTTATCATTTTGTTGCATTTTTTTTTAATGTTCTGGATTTAGAAGTCAACAGGGGAGATGCAGGCACTGAGTTACATGACCAATGATTTAGATCTCATTATTTATAAAGGAGAATAAAACTTCTTTATTAGCACTGCAAATTTGCTAATTATCTTTTCCTACAATAGTTGAAGGCAGAGTGAGATATTTAATTAGGCACTTGAGTGATTGAGCCTGGGGACTAATTAATCTTCTATAGATTCTGTTCTTCATGTGTTCAGCCAGCATGACTATTAAAATGTTACAGTAAACCTCTTTGCCCCTGAAGGCAGGCATATGCATTTATATACAGTAAACCACTAAACCGTTGCCAGGGTGGGAAGCAGGGCAATTAAACCCAAGGCTAATATTGTTTTAAGTGACACATTATTATTATGGGTTGAGGGAGACCCCTGCTAAAAATCATTCCTATCTAGAGTCAGTTATTGTAAGAGCAATTCAAGTAATATATGGTTCACATGAATTTCCTTATTACCCTTCTCAAAGTTATAAAATAGCAAGTAAGACAGGACTGTTTGAAACCATTACTGTTTCCAGAATTGCTTGATTTTTTTCCCAAAGGTTTCTATTCTCAACGTTAAGAGAAATTTTTAAAACTGGGTCATGTTAGCAGTAAGATTAATAAGCAAGGTATAAAACACATAATGAATTTCAAAGAATTAATGAAATTAACTTCATAAGAGTGTAATGTACCAAGTTAAGAACTGCAAAAATATTAGGTCTGAAATGCAGAGGATGTGCTGTGAATGGACAATTGCTTTTCTGCAGCGCCTAGTGGGAAAACAAGGACTTTGTGTGTTGCAAATGCCTAACTGCAGCTCCTCCATTTCCTCTGCTTTATCTTTTACTACTGGCTGGTGAAACAAAGACGGGTGTCAGTAGTAACGTCTTGATTGACATTTTCTCTAATAAAATGAAGTCGCTTTTTGTCTGAAGTAGAAGCCCAGAGTTGACGAGTTGCAACTCCAAAGTCTGTATCCTCTTTATAAGGATTTTTACCTGACACTGTAAGCTGTCTGATTTCAGAGTGTACTCAGTTGACCATGAGACAAAATCAGTGGTGACTATATGTCAGCCAGTTAGCTGGGAGAAACTGTTTTGAGTCAAGTTACTTAGGGCAAGGGTGGAAAAATCCAAGATGTGTCAGGAGCAGACACCAACTTTGGGAAACTAATTGCACCAATACATCTTGTAATGCCTTTCACGATGTTCAGCACAAAGTTACTCATTGTCAGTTCTCAATAAATACCTAGTTAAAATGTTTGCTGAGAATTTACTACCCTTCATATATTGTAAATTATTTAAATGAATTTCAAATATGGCATTTTCAACTGTCTTTGAGAAAAGCTTTTGTGTTAGTTCAACCTAAAGTATAATCTATTTAGGAGGGCATTGCAAACATTGACTGGTGTTCTTTTCAGCCAGAGAACCTTGTTACCCCAAACAGATGCAAAAGTAAAATGACCAATTTTCCTCAAAGTGAGCATGTACCACATGAAAATGCCTCTGCCTAGTAATTAATCTTCCAAAGTTGAATTTGTTATTAAGCAGGCTCAAATCACAGGGGAAGCTGCTTGTTGACTGACAGAACATAGTGCTGGAAGGAATTTATTAAGCAGTAAACTAATCCCAAGCAAGACTAAAAGGACCTCATTATATTAAAATGAAGTGTCAAAATTAAGAATCAGAATAGACTTTAGAACATCTAAATGTAAAAGCTAACAGGTATTCTAAGTGGTTCAACTCACCTTGACTTTTGGGGGATAACTTTTTTTTTTTTAACATCTTTATTGGGGTATAATTGCTTTACAATGGTGTGTTAGTTTCTGCTTTATAACAGAGTGAGTCAGTTATACATATATATATGTTCCCATATCTCTTCCCTCTTTGTCTCCCTCCCTCCCACCCTCCCTATCCCACCCCTCCAGACAGCCACAAAGAACCGAGCCGGTTTCCCTGTGCCATGCGGCTGCTTCCCACTGGCTATCTACCTTACGTTTGTTAGTATATATATGTCCATGTCTCTCTCTCGCCCTAACACACCTCACCTTTCCCCCTCCCCATATCCTCAAGTCTGTTCTCCAGTAGGTCTCTGTCTTTATTCCTGTTTTACCCCTAGGTTCTTCATAACATTTTTTTTTTCTTAAATTCCATATATATGTGTTAGCATACGGTATTTGTCCTCTTTCTGACTTACTTCACTCTGTATGACAGACTCTAGATCTATCCACCTCATTACAAATAGCTCAATTTCGTTTCTTTTTATGGCTGAGTAATATTCCATTGTATATATGTGCCACATCTTCTTTATCCATGGGGGATAACTTTTTGAAGGACCCTCAGTGTTCAGAACTTTTTACCCAAAGACTCCACCATCCCATGGATTCAGCTTATATATCCCAGAGAATTCACAGACAAGTAGGAATCTCTCTTCTAGGAGGCCAGTCTAGCTAAAGAAGAAGAGATTTGGCATTTGGAAACGAGATGAGACCCTCTCTATCAGCGCCGCCCCGTGGTGGCATCCCCATTCCTCCTCAGAGCTTCCCCTTGGGCATCCTCACTTCTCCTAAGAATGTGTCTTGGGGAGCACGCCCATCCCTCTTGTGGGAGGCAGCCTTGGGGTGCTTTACAGGCATCAGGACCATTGGCTTTACAAGCATCCTAGGTGGCTTTGTCAACCTGCTAACTTTGATTCCTGAGGTGATGCATACTTGGTATATTAGCAATCTTTAAAGTGGTCGATATGGAAATTTGGGGGATAGAAGGGAAAAAGGGATGTAGAAACCCAAACTGACAATATCTACTATGTTCCAGGCATTGTTAGAGATTTGAACAAAGACTACAACGAAATGCGTCAAAGTTCTAGCGTATAATGAAGGTAGTTATACTTTCCCAAGAATCGCTTAGGTATCTAGATTTAATTTGTACGTAGAAAGTGATTGCATGGAGCACACTAAAAAGAGCAGCAGATAGAGGCAGGGGACCAGTGTTATTCAGGATCTAACTAGTTGGATGACTCTGAGCCACTTGCTCACTCTTGATCTCAGTTTCATCACCTGTAAATGAAACTGGTTGTATTGGGTTATTTCTAACAATCCTTTTTTAGATGAAACTTTTTACAGTATTCTTATTTGGAGTTTTTTTTTTAAATTCCATTTGTATATAAAAATGTGAGTGTTAAACCTTTATTAAAAGAAAATTACTGTGTGCTTTCAACATGTCAAGGGCTATGCCTACTGAGGCAAAGTGAATAAAAAGACAGATAAGCAATGATTCCCACCTTCAGGAAACTTACATTCTGGTTGAACTTAAACAAATAGTGGAGCCTGGGCAGAGAAATGGAGGAACAGAGAGAATTTGGAAGGGAGGTGGTGATGAAGAAAAACAAAAGAGGTGGCTTTATGCAACTGAATTCAAGAAAAAAATCTAAATTTTCCATCTATATAGATATTTACACCTATTATTGTGGTCTTTAATATGACCAATGGAAGCATTGTCATTCTTTTGAAATGATGTATTTGTAATGGTGTCCTTAAAAAATATAATGTGAAAGGAAGCCAAAGTTTTCCCTTTCGTTGATTAAGCTACTGTATAGGTTTGAGGTGGTGAATTAAATCAGTGTTCTGATATCTTCTCCATCGTCACTTGGACTTGGAACCCCTAGGAGTTCCAGAAAGCAGGAGTCCTTCGAGAACTTTGACAACAGCCGCAGGTTCCAGTAGCCATTTGGTGCAAGCAAGGAGGGTTCCCAAGCTGTGATGGGCTTGACCACTGATGCCTTGTAGTGTCACAGGAATGTCCTTGGTGGCAGGAAACCTCCCAAAGTGGCTCAGAACTTTCGGAGATGACCTGTGTGAGTTAAGGCAAATTTCTTAAACTTTGGAGGCCCTAACTGCCTCCTCTTTAAAATGAGGCTTTTGGAATACTTCTGGGATGCCTTTTTCCTTTCCAGATTCTGAACTTCACCCTGACAAGATTAATGTTGACTAGTTAGCATTAATTTCTTTTTATTCTCCCACCTCTCTCATCCTTTATTTCTACCACTTCCCTTAAAAGTTTGCCTTTACTCAGTTATCCAAATTTATGCGATTTCACCTCCAAAATACCCTCATTGCTAAGGAAAAACAAAAACAAGTCCCTGGGTTTTGGAGAATTTCTCCGCAGGAGGACTATTGCTCCCCAGGGAAGACCACGTGTCCTTGCCCCCTTTCTCTCCTCTGAGGCTGATGTGCTGCTCTGTGGCTGTAGCTCCCCTTCAGACAGTAAAGGGATGTGCTTTGTGTTCACTGTAGCTGGAGACTTTAATGTGACAAGTGTCTTTTTCCTAAGTGCCAATCATTGTCCTAGATTTTCTGTGCTATCTCACTTTAATATCTCTTCCGCTCCAATTCTGG